ACAGAAAGTAATGGTTGTGGAGGTGGAACTAATTGTTGATGCTGTGGTGATTGTTGTTGATGATGAATTTGGTGAGATCTATTTGGCGTAGATGTTGTTGTTGTTGTTGTTACTTTATCTGCACTTGTTAAATTAAGAAAATTAAACTGTAAAATTGTATCATCATGTGAACTACTAACTATTTGAAATTCGTCAAATTGTAAACGAAATACACGACCGGTATGTTCCGTTAATGTTCGAATACACAATGAGTTTGCTGGTGAACGTGGATCGAGTGCTTGTTCTAAATCCCATACTTTAATTTTGCCATCATATGCCCCACTTACAATACGTTTCGAATCAAATCGAATACATCTCACTAATTCATCGTGACCTTCTAATACCCGCAAACATTGACCACAATCAATATCCCATATACGACTAAAAAACAGTAGAAATAAATAAAAGTTAAAATATTTGAGAATCTTAACGTGTTACTTACATTGTATTATCGGAACTACCACTAACAACAATTTTATCACGATATTGCAAACATGCAATGCCTCTCTTATGTCCTAATAGCGTTCGAGCAAATTCACACGTTGTTGTAAACCATACTTTGATTGTTCGATCACCACTTGCACTCACTAAAATATACATTAATTTGCTTAATAAAAAATGCAATCGTTATAAAATATGTACCTATATATTTGTCATCGAAATCGACAACATTAACAGCTGCTCGATGTCCAACAAGTACTCGACGTATTGTAACATCCGTTGGTGAATTCATTTCCCACACAGCTATTGAACGATCTTTTGAACATGTAACCATTGTTCCATCCGTAAATCGTAAATGTAATACGGCTTCACAGTGATGTAATAAAGTATTTAATAATTCACCACTTTTTACACTCCATATACGAATTGTTGAATCACTTGAACCAGTGACAATCATTTTTTCATCATATTGTAAACACAAAACACTACCTAAAAAATGTGAGAAACAAATAAAAACGCATTCTAAATAGGTATGCACCGGTTTTGATTTTTAATCGGTTATCCAAAATCGATCATAATCGATGACTTTATTTGTACATATTCTTGAAAATATGTTTAAAACAGTATGCTGGAAATATCTGTTGTTCCAATCAACAAATGTTCGTCCCAAAGGAACTGTATGCTGTACATTTTTTGAATCCAACACTTTTCATAGAAATCTAAGGAAAAAAATGACTTTGAAGATACAACTTATTTTTCGAAAAATCTTACGTATTTTAAAATAACTTTTTTTCCTTAAATTTTTGTGAAAAATGTTGAGTATAAAAAATGACCGTATAATTGAAATGAATTCATGAAAATGTCAAACTTTTAAAAGAAAAAAAAACATTTTCTACGAGCCGTATGCCACATGGTCAGAGCAAAAGAATTGTTATTAGAACAAAAAGGATTGTTATATAGTCACGCGATGTTCCGGTTTAAAGTTGATTGGTTATCCGGTTAACCGAAACTGTTGTATGCCGAATTCTAAAATATTCATAGTAAAATTCTAACTGACATGGATTTTAAAAAATGTTATAAAGACTTTTATAAAGATTTTTTAATATTATGTCTACTTACCGCTATGTCCTGTTAAAACTTTTGTACATTCTAATGTTTTTCTATCCCATATTTTAATTGTGTTATCTCTTAATCCACTAATAATTTTTTCATCATCATATTGTAAACAATAGACCCCTTTACTATTTTGTGATCGACATTGAATTTTTTGTAATGTAAAATTTCCCGTTCGCCAATTTGTTTCAATTCGTTCAATATCTTTACATATTTGTGGATATAATCGACGATAAAATTCATGTTTTTTTTGTAATTCACCATTTTGTAACATTTGACGAAATAGATAACGTGACCAACCCCGTCTTTCTGATAAACAATGCCATAATGTATCACACATTACTTTTCGTTCCACTAATTTCTTCCATAACATACCTAAAATGATATATATATATATAGAAATTTAATTAGAATATTAATTAGTTAAATTAAATAGAAAATATACCTTGTGAAACAACATGATACCATTCTCGACAAACAAGTTCAGTAGATGATAAAGATTTATCATCTAAATAGCCAAGAATTTTTTCTGCAATAGCTTCAAGTCCTCTAGTTGATAATTGTCCAATAAAATCACGTTGTAACATTGGAACTAAAAATGAATTTATTTTACTTAATTGATGATGATGCATTCGTTTTAAAAAATCTTCAATAATATTTATTTGTTCATTTTCAGTAAATTCTTCAAATATTTGTAAAAAATTTGTACTATTTTGTTCATAGTCTGGTGTTGATTTTTTTGTAGAAGATGATGTTTCCATAGATATTATATCTAACGATTGATTACAATCGGACGATGTTATTGTCGAAGATAGTGTAAAATCCATCGTGAAATATAATTGAAAGAATTTAATAAATCACTAAAAATACAAATAAATAAAATCTATAGAACGTTTAAGACGACATAATCAAATCCTATGAGAAGTTTGTATCTAATTTATTTCTCTGCAAATGAGAAAACATGTCAAAGTATTCACTTCGATATTTTTGCGTGAAAAATATTGAACTGTAGATTATTTTTGATAATTCTGAATAAAAATTTTACTTCTAGTAGATGGTGAATACCAGAAATATGAGAATCGTTCTTTATCGACGAGATTTTGGTTGGTAAAGTCTAAATATTATTCCACATGAGTAACTCGACTTGTTCTACAAACTGATTATGTCAGAATCTTTCAACCTGAAGATTTGACAGGAAGGATACTTGATAAGTCTATAAAGAAAAGTAGAAGTCAGATTTGTGATTAGCATAAAAAAAATGTTTTTCCAATTACGAATTGGATCCTTCAGAATGTTTACTCGTAATAGAAAAGATGTTGAAAAAAATAGTTCTTTTAAAATTTGTGAAGGAGAAATGTTGAACCTCTTAACACTTTTTTTTGATAAATATTTTTTCAACAATAAACATGTATAATTTTCTTTTATGCCACCATGATGTCAAATGAAGGAGAGTGAACAATCTTCTTTCTATTGACATAATGGACGTATGTATTACTTTAGTTTAATTTATTCTTTAATTTATGCATTATTTATTGACTAACGAGAGAAAGAAAAAAAGTTTTTTTTTATGATGACACAACATTGAATATATAGATGATGATTATTATTATTATTAGTATTCAATTTCTGAACCAAGAGTATGAATGTAATAAACACAAAAGTAGAATATTCTAAATTTTAGATCTACTCTTGAATGGTAAAAGAGTAATGTTACTGTCAAATGACATCAATCGATGTATTTATCTCATTGTTCATTTCACTGCTTATGTTAACACGAGTGGATGGATCAAATGATAAAGTAATTTGATAAACAACAGATCTTACCTTTTGTTAATAACTCAGGACGAATTTGTTCCAAGTTAATCTTAAGCGTAGAAATTAAGTTTTTTTCTTCTTAAAAATCTGTTATGACTATGTAAACGTTTTTTTATAATCTAAAAATAATACAGACTGGTTCAGACATTGTTTCTAAAAGAAACAATTTATTTTTTAAGATTTAAAGTTTGAGTTTATTGCATTGGCTGCCATCGCTATGTCGACAACAACAATGAATTCATGTATAATTTGTTCAAAGGAGTTCATATTATTGTACTTGCTGAATTATGTCTTACCTCTCATCTAGTAGCAATCGAAATGCTCTTCCGTTAGAGAAACGATTAATTGTAAAAAATTAGATCTACAAGAATGTTGATTCTGCAATCTAATCACATTCAGAAGAGTTTTGCTCACTACTTAACTTGTCCTGCGCAGCAAATATGCACAAGAAACACGTAGAGTAGCTCTGACGGGATTCCGCGGAGAAAAAGAATTATTTTGTTAGGGAAACGAGTCTGTCCGCTGAAAAAAGAATCGAGTCAGAGTCCTTGAAATGAAGTCGCAAGTCCGAGTCCTGAGTCCGTTTAAAGTTAATAATTTTTTCAAATATTTTTCTACTTTTCGTTAGGCATAAAGTCTTATGTTCAATTTCTACTGTGTAATTGAATTTCGGGCTGTTATTATGTATTCAAACAAGATGCTGTGCTAAGCATAATTTTTAAAGAGAGTAGAACATGTGCGGCTATATATCTCATAATAATATAAAACAAAATGCAAATTTCTCTGTTCATTTATGTTAAAAGTTGAATCGATCGGACTCGAAATACAAAAACTCAAGTTCGAGTTCGAATCTTTCAAAAAACTCTCCAATTTAAGCCCGAGTCTATCTTCTAGTCTAATCTTCTAGTCTGGCCTCGAACTCGTCCAGCCCTGCAGGAATGATCATTACTTCGACGATTATTACGACGATCGAATCTAAAACCAGAAACAGTAGACGATATTATCCTCACCCATTTCTACAGAAAACCAAATATGAAAACATTTTCGATTTATTTTTCTGCGTATTACTAATAAAACATGATGTATTGTGCGACGAAAATGTTTAAGAATATCGACGTTCAAGAGATATTCTTGAACATTGCTATGCAAAGTAATGTTCAAAAGTGACAAAAAGGAAACAGTTTTTCAATCGGGACGAGGCAATGATGGTTTCCAGAGTGATGGATCAAGATGAGACGGATTCTGAAAAATTGACCATTTATACATCTTTCTTCAGCAGTAGTGCGTTTTTTCTTCTTCTCTTAGTCATAGATTAATATAGTCATACTGAAAGATAATTGAAATAATTTCAAATTGATATTTATCTGACAACCAATGAACAAGCAAGAAAACAAAACGAGACAAAGAAAAAATTGCTATAAACTGCTTGCACACACACACACACACAAACACACGCAGCGATAAAGATAGAGTAATATATATATATACAAATAACACTGTTTCACATCAGAAATATTTTTTTTTATGAAATAATCATAAAGAATATAAAAAATATACAATTTTTTTTTTCGCTAAGTGGATATATTTTGTTCATACAATACATATATGTATATATATATTCTGTTCCGAGATTAATAAGAAAATAGAAGCTTGAGTTATAACATGTCTACACAAATGATACACGGACAAAGTCTAACATAAAAATAAATATAGATACATTTATATATATATATATACCTATATAATATATATACAGAAAAAAAACATATACGTGAGGCAGACAATTGTACAAAAAGAAAAAAATATTAACCGGACATCAAATATACACACCGGCTTACAAAATGAATGGGTTAATAAAATTTGAGTTAAAGTTTCTCGCTAAATACAACTGATTTTTCTAATGCAGTTATTGGTAATATTTTTTGAATATTATCCGAATCTTTACCAACAAATGATAGTGTTGTTGTTGTCTCATCTCTATTACTAAAATGTTTTTTTGATAAATCAGCCATTTGTTGTAATTCATTCTTGTATTTTGATTGATTTGAATCACCATCTGGATTTTGCTCATGTCGTCGTATTATTGAATCTTTATTTAACACTGGTGTACGTGAAGAGAGATAAATACGTGGTTTATATGATTCAATCGGATCTGTCAAATGTTGTGTCGATAAAATACTTTCATTATCACTGTGATGTTCATCAATCGCATCGGTCAGATCACCATTTTCACTGCAAACATCCATTATTGTACTAGTAGTAGGATATTCATCTTCTCTATTATGATACGAATCTGATTTAGACGATGTTACTGTACTAATTATACTATTAGCTCGATTATAATGAGAATGTTGCGTGATACGTCGCCGACGTTTATACCGACGTGATGATAGAGATGACGGTTTGTCATTGCACACACAACTAAACATACGGGAAAGTAACGTTATTTTAAATATAAGTAGATAAATCAGATTTTTTACTTACTCAACAACATGATAAGAATATTTTTTATCCTCATGTTCATTTGAAAATAGCCACTTGAAAACGTTCAGCGGGAGAAAATTTGATTGATCAATAGTTGAAGTATAAGGCAGAAACGACGGTATAATACCCAATACTCTAAAACGATGAAAAAATACATGAATATGTTGATAGTTGATATTTTATTCTATTCTTTACAGTGCAAGTTAAGTTTCCAAGGGAAGAGTCCAAGTCCACCTCTCTGACTACGCTACTGACTACTAGTCAAGTCAAGTGAATTTATTTATCAAGAACAACAGATTATAGTAGAAAGTTGCTTGAGATGCCAGACAGTAGATGTGTACAAATGTCACTTTTACTGTGTCACTTAGAATAACGTCATTGTACAATGCATTCCAACCTCTGAAAGTTCCTACAAGATAGGTTTCCATCATACCAGATGCCTGGAATTTTGATACGGCAAATTACATCGAATTTTACCGTGGAGAATTCTCAGGTTGTTTCATCAGCTACGTGTAATTGAAACGACCAGTGAGAATAACTAATTCTTACTTAATTAAAAGACACCTATTGATGTCTAAAATCAGTTTAATTCTTATAAATGTATTTTTTACAGTGATATCTTGCCTTATCTACTATTCTACTAGGTTTGAAGAATATCACGGTTGGTATTGTTCATCAGTTTATATATCTTTTGTTTTACTTTTGAATGATTTTACACAAGAGAAAATGCTATCGCATTATGAGAAAATAATAAATTTTTTCTGCAAATTCGAGACATAACTTGTTACAGAAGTGTGATAGATAAAATGGTTCTTGAAATACAGAGCGATTGTAGAAGCTTTATTACCTTTTTGTGACTGTGTATGTTAAATCAATTGGCAATGTTACAGGTAATGCCACATAAGACCAAATATTAAGCAAAGGAGATCGATTAACAACGTTTCCCAAATTGGCTAATTCATCGTTCAATGCACTATTGAATACTAAATAGGAAAAAAAGACTCTACTATTTTATAATACACGTCCTATGATCTGTTACCTGCTATAAGTGATGATGGCATTTGATTTACTTCTTCTGGTTTACGACAAAATTCACTAAATGCACCTGCTGTTGAATGATCATTATTTTCTTCTATACTGTTTTGAACTGTGGAATCATCATCTACATCTTCACTGTCACTAGCAAACATATGATGTACATCACCGTCATCCGTGCTATGGCTATCCAAAAGTTCATCATCATTAGGTTCACTGTATTCTCTGCCAAGTACGCTGGATATACTTGATTTGTCTGTCAGACGTGTTTTTACCATTAAATCTAAATAAAAATACAAACATATGTTATATAAATATGATTTGATTATACAAAATACTTACTTCGTGTTTGTAAAAATTTCAAACCATCAACATAGCCACGCCAACATATCTGTTTTAATACAGATAATTCTGGTGGAAATAAAGCTCGAGTAAAACGATATAAATTTTCTTGTGTACACGATATATCTGTGCCTGAAATAAAGAAATAAAATTAAAATAATAGATAAATAAATTGAATAAATAAATGAACCTCTAAAATCGACGCTATAAAATGATCCTGATTCATCGCGTGGACATATATCACTTTCACCGGCAAAGGGTGATACTAATATTGTATTTTCATCAATTACTGGATTATTGTTTGTCAATCCACCATCCCAATAATACTAAACATCAGAATAGATAATTAATTTTTATTATAATAGTTTATTCTTATGTACTTACCACTCCTCGAAATTTATGTGGAATAATACCAGACCAGTATGGAACAAAACTACTACATATCAAAGCCTATAAAATAAAGAAAAAGACAATATAATTTTATAAATAAATTATAAAAATTAGCATACCTGAATAAGTTCTTCACGAGTATGAAATTCGCTGATAACAACATTTTTGTTGTCTCGCCAACGTGTTAGTGAAACATAGAGACGACCTGAACATAGTTCATGAGCATTTGATGGTAAAATTCTAAATATATATAAATATTATGATTCATATTGTATATAACATTATAGTTTATCTACCGTCGAAGTCCATTTCTTATTATATCAACAATACTGAATGTTGGATGTAAGGGACCGAGTGCACGAGCTCTTGCACGTAGAGCAATTTCCAATGCATCACTGGCCATTTGACCTAAAATGGCAAATAAATATATTTAAAAAAAATGATAAAAAAATTAAATATTCTATATCTAAAATTATTTAAAATAGAATTTAATTTTTAAAAATTTTTAATAAAAAATAAATATAAATATATTTTATTTACCTAGACAACAATCACAAACGGCACATGCTGCTACTAGTGAACCAGCAGAACATCCAGCCATTTTTCCTTCTAATATTTCTGGTGCATTTTCTTTAAAAGCACAAATAACACCAATATGATAAAGACCAAGAAATCCACATCCCGATAATGATAAATTCATTAGAGGAATGTCAGTTTGACAAACCATCTATCAATCAAATTTTGTATAATAATAGTTAAATAAATAAATAAATTATTAATTATAGTCGTATATAATATCTTAAGATAAAGATATAATAATAGTAATAATATAGATAAAAAAATGTAATTTTAAAATACTATAAATATAAAATGATAGTTTGTGTATATATGTGATATTATAGGGAAATTAAAGTATTTAAGTAAAAGTTTAAAACTTTTTAATAAACTATATATGACCTTGCATTATGCACACAAATTTCTTTTTTTTTAATTCCAATAAAAAAAAAAGGAGTGCATAAAAAATAATTAAATATAAAACGTACGCCTACTTTCTTATCTCATATGAATGACCAACTCTTTATGAATGAGAGAAAAAACGCACATTTTTTTTTCTTGTGCAAAAAAAAAAAAAGCATTTAAAACCACAACTAAATACATCTGATAACAAGGTGTTTGAGTAAAAACATGAGTTTATTATTTTTATTTAAAGAAAAAATGAAACGATTATATATACTCTTTTATATTAATAAAAATTCATTGTTATAGAGGCATTAACATGTGAATTTCATTGCTATCTATTCAATTCTTTGTCAAATATCGATACAGGTAACAAAGTATACTAAAAAAACAATAAAACCGAACTGCAACTGACCTTTAATCTAGAAGTGATATAAAAGTACGTTCTTTCCAGCTCCAAAGGTACATGTAATCATTTAATTAGTATATTCTTCATAATATCTATAGTCACCTTATGTTATTTGCATTTTAAGAGCAAAACCTTAAAATATGATCTAAATGTAAAGAAAGGTCAAAACTGATAGGTATGACTAATCTATCAGCTTTTATAAAAAAAAATTCTTAGAATTTGCGCTCAAAAAAATAGTTTTAAAGAACGGTTTATCAGAAACGAACTATAAAAATTTCTTAGTTTGATATTTCCTTTTTTTTCTTCTACTTCTCTGCAGTGGCGACGGTGTGAAAATTTTTAAGAAAGAAATTTTCATTACCTAGTGTTTAGTTTTAGTTCACGAGGTAAAGTAAAGTAAAGTAAAGTAGCTGTCATAACCACTGGTCACCATACTGATGAGGTAGAGGTTGGTTGCAGAATAGTGGTAAGAAGAGATGCGAGAAGAGTGAAACAGCGTTCATCAATGCTCTATATAATATATTTTAGAGATAAATATAAATATAATGCTATTTTTGTCTTTTGCACATTACTCTAGTTGATAGTACAGAAAAGTTCTAATTTTCAATAATTCATTTTCAAAGTTTTTTATCAGCGGTGGCGGTGTAAGACTTAAAAAAAAATATTTCGCCTATGGCGATGGCGACGTGAAATTTTAAAATTCTCTTTTAGCGGCGTCAACGGCACGGCTAACATCTCTAGTTGTACACAGAGCAACCCATCTTGTTATATTTTATATAAAAATAGCGATCCCGTGAATCATGTGCACGAATAAACAGCTGGATGATACTTTTTGCCAATCCTAAAAGGGTACGTGACCTTTACACTCTCAAAAGGAACTAAACTGAAAATCCTCGAATTTGAAACGAAATCATCATGTAATGTTGCTCCCTAACTGATTTTATAATAATAATTTTAATTTTTTAATCTGTAGTCGATAGAGTTCGTTTTGGTACAGCCAGTGGCGGCGGACCCATTAGGCTATCCCCTAGAAAAGGAAGAGGAAGGCTTGGGAAGGCTCAAATATTTTAGAAAATATCATAGATCACATCTTTAGGTTACATATGGTGAGCAAAAAAGATTTTAAGCCTCCCCTAGACTGAAATCGTTCCGCCGCCACTGGGTACAGCGATTGTAGCTCCTAGTAGAATTTTTTTTGTTTGTGTATAGGGTTATGTCTAACTTCATGTCTCATTTAGAATAGAAGAAAAGAACATTGCTGAAATTGTTGTTTGTTGCTTGAGATTGTTGCCCTAGTGGAACTTCTTGTACCCAAGATCTTGGCCAAGATCTTGGGTTAAGAAATGTCACAAGATCTTGGAAAAAACACCAAGAAGTCAAGATCTTGGATTCTTGAATTTTTCACTCAAGATCTTGGCGAAGATCTTATATTAAGAAATTTCAAGATCTTGGGTGGCGTAAGCCAAGATGTTTCAAGATGTTGGATTCTTGAATCTGTCACTCACTATCTTGGCCAAGATCTTGTATTAAGAAATTTCAAGATCTTGAGTGAAGCCACTCAAGATGTTGCAAGAGCAAGAATGACAAATTTTCTTTACATTTTGTTTTTATTTATGACAGTCGTAGCCACTGG